GAAACCAGAAACCACATTCCTCATGCTGTCAGTAAACCAGTTTCCTGCCTTTCATAATACAGAGAACATTTTGAGACTTTAGTAATAACCACAACCCAAGAAAGAAAAGAAACTTTTGGGGGGATGTGTACCCCTTTAAATGACCGATCCAGCAAAGTTCTGAAATACGGCAGCAGTCACATCTCATTCCCATGTGAGCTAAGTCATCTGCCTGCTGCTATGTGGACTCTACACTGAGTGTTGCCACCAAGTAGCTGTAAATTAGCCTAATAATGCCATACACCAGACACCATAGCACATACCCTACAGCCAACAATGTAGGCCAGGCGTGGTGGCTCACGCCTGTAATCACGGCACTTTGGTGGGAGGCCGAGGTGGGCAGATCATGAGGTCAGGAGTTTGAGACCAGCCTGGACAACATGGTGAAACCCCGTCTCTACTAAAAATACAAAAGTTAGGCGGGCATGGTGGCAGACGTCTGTAATCCCAGCCACTTGGGAGGCTGAGGCAGGAGAATTGCCTAAATCTGGGAGGTGGAGGTTGCAGTGAGCCGAGATCGCGCCATTGCACTCCAGCCTGGGTGACAAGAGCAAGATTCTGTTTCAAAACAAAAACCAATGCATAGCCTGTCACTACATCAACGTCATTTCTCTAAACCAGTGAGAATTCCTAACAAACAACCAGTAATCACTCCTCTCCTATTTTGTCCTTTTTTCTTTAAAAACTTGAACCTCTCCTATGCTCTCCAAAGTACTTCCCAGTGTTTTCCAGGGCTCCAGCCCTCAACCTTGGCCCCAATACATTCTCTACATCAATTTTGCTTCAGTTTCTTTTTTTAGGTCGACGATCCTCAAGGCTGACCTTCTGACAGGGTGCGATTCATAGTCACTGGGAAGGAAGCCCAAACCATCTCCCTTAGAAATCCATCTTGAAGTTTCTGTTGTCAGAGAGACATTCTTTCAGTTCCAAACTTTTCCTTGTTAGGAATCTCCAGTCAGAATGCAAACACCCCTGGAGTAGTTAGGATCAGTACTTCAAGCTCTGTCACTTTATCGCACTGTTGAACTCAGTTTCACAAACAGTAGTGGGAGGGACAGTGGTTTGGAGCACAGCTTGTGGAGCCCAGGAGTGTGGGATCGAAGCCTGGCTCTGCTGGGCTGTGTGGCCTTGGGCAACTCCCTGAACTTCTCAGTTCCTTCACCTTTAGAATGGGGATAATGGGCCTGGCCTGGTGGTCCACGTCTGTAATCCCAGCACTTTGGGAGGACGAGGCAGGAGGATGGCTTGAGCCCAGGAGTTTGAGACCAGCCTGGGCAACATAGTGAGAGCTCATCTCTACAAAAAAAATTTAAAAACAAGGCAGGAATATTGCTTGAGCCCAGGAGGCTGCAATGAGCCGTGATTGTGCCACTGCACTCCTGCCTGGGTGATAGAGTCAGATCCTGCCTCAAAAAAAAGTTTTTTTGAGGATAATGATACCGCCACAGGAATAAATGAGTTCACAGATATAGAACACGTAGGACCACACCTGGTCTATGGCAGGTGTTACAAGCAGGTTAATTAATTAATCTATTAATGACAAATGATTATCAATGAGGACCCAGAGAGCACAGAGGGGTGTTAGTTGCTCTAGGATACTCAACTAGTTGCTGGTGGAGCCACTCCACAAAAATGTGTCTTTATTTTCCAAAGCATTTTGGCGTCTTTTTATTGAGGTGGGGAACTTTATTCAACAATCTTTTGTTTTTTTTAGACGGAGTCTCACTCTGGCTGGACTCACTGGAGTGCAGTGGCTCTATCTCTGCTCACTGCAACCTCTGCCTCCCAGGCTCAGGCGTCCTCCCACCTCAGCCTCCAGAGCAGCTGGGACTATAGGCGCAGTCACCATGCCCAGCTAATTTTTGTATATTTTGTAGAGACCAAGTTTCGCCATGTTGTCCAGGCTGGTCTCAAACTTGTGGGCTCAAGCAATCCGCTTGCCTCAACCTCCCAAACTGATGGGATTACAGGCAAGAGCCATTGCACCTGGCCCTCAATTCTTATGTAGTTGTAAAGTACCTTGTTGTATCTTTTTTTTTTTTTTCCCCTAACCCATTTTTTTTTCTTTCAGACCAAGAGTCTTTTTTTCCTGGCAGAAAGTCCTTGGTGCACATCTGACAGATGTCAGTGTTTGCCCTCTACATAGGAGAAAAGCAGGGCTGAGTGCAGTGGCTCAGGCCTACAATTCAAGCACTTTGGGAGGCTGGAGCAGAAGGCACCCTTGAGCCCAGGAGCCCAAAACCAGCCTGGGTATAAGGAGACACCGTCTCTTCAAAGTATTTAAAAATTAGCCAAGCGTGATGCTGCGTGCCTGCAGTCCCAGCTACTCTGGAGGCTGAGGTGGGAGGACTGCTGGAGCCCAGGACTTCAAGGCTGCAGTGAGCTATGATCCCACCACTGCACTCTGGCCTGACCAACAGAGTAAGACCCTGTCTCAAAATTTAAAAAAATATATAAATTTTTAAAAAAAGAGAAAAGAAAGAAAAAGAAAAGGCCAGTGAGGCCACTGCCACACACTACTGAGGGGTAGGGAGTGGCTCCGCACACTGCCAGACACCCTTCTCCCCAGAGGGCGCAGCCTCTAGCCTTCGCCTGCCCCCGCATTTCTCCTTGGCTCCTACATCCCCTCTCGGCTGCACTTAACGGCTTCCCAGATTCTTACAGACTATTGGAATCGCTTCCTTCAGAGTGTTTCGGGAAGCCCAACATGCCCTGGCTTTCTCCCCAAGGGGCAGGCTGCTCTCAGGAGGGGGAGCCCATCTCCACCTTCATCCCTCTGGCTCAGAAGAGGGTTCCCTTCCTGGCGGGCTGAGGCAGCGGGCAGCTGGGGTCAGCCCACGCCTCTCGCATGTGGCCATCTGAATCATTTCCTTTCGCAATGTGTTACTCAGTTTCAGGGCCTGCCACGTGGGGGTGCTTCCCTTCCTTTCCACAGCGGCACATGGGGGACGTGGAGAACGTGGCAGTCGTGCCTTTCTCTGGACAGCAGAGGACCTCCCTGACCCCCAAACACCTCAGTCCTCATCACCTCTGCTTCTTTTCTATAAAATGGAGGTGATAACACTTGATTTGTCTAACACTTTCTTAGTCGTGAGACAAACAAGATGACCCAAGTGAAGGGGCTGAGTAGACTCCAAAGCAGTGACTCTCAGTTGAGGGCTGGGAGTTGATTCTGCCCTCTCGGGGACATTGGTTGTCACTCCTGGGGGAGGGTGCTACTGCATCTAGAAGGTAGAGCCAGGGAAGCTGCTAAACATCTTGTAACACACAAGACAGCCCCTACAACAAAGCATTAGCCAGCGCCAAATGGCAATCATGTGGAGGTGGAGAAACCAGCTCTAAAGAATGATTGAAAAGTAGTAACCTTTACAAAGGCCAGGCATGGTGGTTCATGGTGACCCCAGCACTTTGGGATGCCAAGGTGGGTGGATCACTTGAGGCCAGGAGTTCTAGACCAGCCTGGCCAACATGGTGAAAGCCCGTCTCTACTAAAAATACAAAAATTAGCTGGGTGTGGTGGTGCATGCCTGGAATCCCAGCTACTCAGGAGGCTGAGGTGGGAGGATTGCTTGAGCCCAGGAGGTGGAGGTTGCAGTGAGCCGAGATTGTACCACTGTACTCCAGCCTGGGTGACGGAGTGAGACTCTGTGTCAAAAAAAAAAAAAAAGAGAGAGAGAGAAAGAAAAGTAGTAACATTTTACGGGGAACTCAGTCTGTGCCAGGTACTTTACATGCATTGTCTCATTTAATTGCTCCAGCACCGTATGAGGCGGTATGGTTATTACTCCCATTTTACAGATGAGAAAACTGAGACACAGAAGAGTTAAAGAACTTGCCCAAGTCCCACAGCTAGAATAGGATGGAGCAGGAATGAATCCTGGGGCTTCTACTTCCCAGGCCCACTTTTTTTTTGTTTGTTTTTTTTGAGATGAAGTTTCGCTCTTGTTGCCCAGGCTGGAGTGCAATGGTGTGATCTCAGCTCATTGCAGCCCCTGCTTCCCAGGTTCAAGTGATTCTCCTGCCTTAGCATCCTGAGTAGCTGGGATTACAGGCATCCACCACCATGCCTGGCTAATTTTTGTATTTTTAGTAGAGATGGGGTTTCACCACATTGGCCAAGCTGGTCTCGAACTCCTGACCTTAGGTGATCCACCCGCCTCGGCCTCCCAAGACCCAGTCTTAATCTATGTGCTACAGAGCATGTTTCCAGTCTGCCTATGGTGAGGGTCTCACACCCATGCCTGAACAAACGCTGTTTTGCAAAAATGTGCACTGCTTTCCTCCACTCCAAATACAAGCAGATGCTATTGTGATGAACAAATGCAAATTCTTTTAAAGTGTTAATAAGTCAATGTTACTTTTCTGACATTATGCATTTTCCTCAATCAAGGGAATCTAGAAAGTAAACTGCAATTATGTTGTGGGAGTCCATGAAAATCTTTCATCTCTAAAACAAGAGACCCTCAGTATCTAAAAGGCAGGAAACCTACGTGACAGATCTGAACTAAATTCAAATCTAGCAACGCCTTCTCTGAGTTTGGCTTGCTTTCGTGCAGCTCAGCTATGTTACTTGCTGAAAAGGTTAACTAACTGCCCTGAAGCCAAAAGCAAAACAAAAGCAGAGCAAAACATCTCACCAAACATAGACGGATTTTGCAGCTAACATGTTTGGTTCAGGTTGGGACAAATGAATCCTTTGGGTCTCTTCCATTCAGTTACAGATCCTGCTTTTAAAGGCTGTTCCAGTAGAATGATTTCCACAGAGCATTGGTCTCTAAACCTCTCTCCTCCCTATAAAAGACCACCTGCTGGACAAGACTCCCCCTCGCCCCACCATGATCCCTCCCAACACAGAGTTCCTTCTGCAACACCAGGAGCCCCCCAGCGACTCTCCAGGAAGGCTGAACAGGACCTGGCAGCCAAGCCTGCTCTTGGCCCCTTTCCCTGAGCAACACACTCACCCCTTCTTCCTTCATGCTCTGATCCTGTTGCTCCATGCTTGCTGTGGAAGGGCAGAGTGCCGCTCACCTTCTTTTAGCCAAAGTAACGCGTGCACTGAATGGAGAGAGAAGACATTCTGGGTGCACTTTGGCCACGCCAAATAACAGCCAATAGCATTTTTATAGCCAGACTAAGTCAGAATAACCCTTTCAGGAACCTGGTCTTCCTTTCACTTCTGCTTTTAAATGAAACGTCTGGGGTTTGGCTAAGCAAGTGGGTGCCCCCTGGGGACTGCAGGCCCAGCATTGTCCTGACGGAACAGTCTGCGGTATTTCCCCATTGCTAAAGTCTCTACCAGTCAGGCTCATGGTGAGTGACTGGAAGGGTTATTTCTGTCAGGAACGCGTGGCAAATAACAGCTGTCATCCACCCTACACGACACCAGGTAATACAAGGGCAACAGATCGGGCCACTAGAGACCTCATAGACGCTGTCCCTGCCAGGAAAGCTACAGTCAAGTCTCTCTGGTGGAGAGTCAGTTTTGCCCAAGTAACTGTGCAACACTGTTTGGGGAAAGTTTCTCATTTTCCGTTTTTTGTTGTTTTTTTTTTTTTTTTGAGACAGAGTTTCACTCTTGTCCCAGGCTAGAGTGCAGTGGCGTGATCTCGGCTCACTGCAACCTCTGCCTCCCGGGTTCAAGCGATTCCCCTGCTTCCACCTCCTGAGGAGCTGGGATTACAGGCGTGCACTACCACGCCCGGCTAATTTTTGTATTTTTAGTAGACACAGGGTTTTGCCATGTTGGCCAGGCTGGTCTCGAACTTCTGACCTCAAGTGATTTGCCCTCCTTGGCCTCCCAAAGTGCTGGGATCACAGGCATGAGCCATCGCGCCCGGCCTCTTATTTTCCATTTTAAGGAGCTCAGAATGACCTAGAGATGTTACTTTCTGTGTATTCATCAGTACTGGGAAGGTGGTAAATACCTCAAACCCCTTTCCAGGCAGGGCAGTGAAAGTGAGTCACAGTTGCTGGTCCAGGTCCGGCCATCTCAAGGCCAGGCCACTGTCAGCCCCCTGTGCTTGGCACTCATTCAGCTGTCACAGGGCATGCCAGAGTAAGTGGCCAAAATCCAAAGTCTCACAAGCCCCACAGGTTTTCATCTTTACAGGACATACTCCCTGTTTTATTTGCTGTGGCATAAATCCAGTTACTTTAGTGATTCACTGCAAATCTCATGCATCTTTAAACAAGCAGAGACTGGGAGCCTGTGTTGGGCACTGTTCCTTGCATTAGCAGCAAACCCCCAGGGTTGCTCAGGGTGGGAGACTGTGAGAAGCCTAGCAGTGTGGCCGTCTGTGTGTGTGTGTGTGTTGGTGGGGGGTGGGGGGTCCCTATTCACAAGGGAGAACTCAGCATTCCGTTTCACCAGCTTCACTGCCTTTTTCTTCTGTGTACCACTGCCCTAGCGCACTGACTTGTGACTAAGGCATAGCAAGACCAGAGGTTTCCAATTATTTCAAAGATTTAGAAAAAGTTTCCAAAGAAAATGCACTTTAATTGCAGGGATAGGGTGGGAAGAGGAAATCACCGATGGGGGAGTGAGGAGACGGGTACAGGTGTGCAATCCAACAAAACGAAGCATCCAGCCGGGCGTGGTGGCTCACGCCTGTAATCCCAGCACTTGGGGAGGCCGAGACGGGTGGATCACCTTAGGTCAGGAGTTCGAGACCAGCCTGACCAACATGGTGAAACCCCGTCTTTACTAAAACTACAAAAATTAGCTGGGAGTGGGGGCAGACGCCTGTAATCCCAGCTATTTGGGAGGCTGAGGCAGGAGAATCGCTGGAACCCAGGAGGCGGAGGTTGCAGTGCACCGAGATCATGCCACTGTACTCCAGCCTAGGCGACAGAGCGAGACTCCATCTCTGTCCTCCACCCTCCCCTCAAAAAGAATCGTCCAAAGTTTGCAGTCATCAGTCACGTCAAGTGCATGACACCTGCTTCTATCTAGGCCCAGATCTTCCACTTCTCCCTGCCTCTGGGCGAGGGGGTAACTAAAAACGGGGGTCGCTGGCCGGGATGCGGGGACAGTGGGTCAGGCCCTTGGGCCCAGAGGGGATCATCCCGGCAGCTGCAGGCCGCAGTACCTGGTTCCTGCCAGTGACAGGGCGTCGCAAGCACAGCCATGGATGACGTCACCAACGCTCGACCGTGCTTCCGCCCTGGAGGGAGCCGAGCGCGGGGAAGAGGGCGCAGCGCGAGGCCGTCACGACGCCAGGCTGCGGGCCGCTCAGTCAGTCCCTCTGCCCGGTGGGCCTGCGGGCTCCGGGTAGGTCCTGTCCCTGCCCAAGACCCCTCTGCCTCAGCCCGGATCCCCCTCGGCCTGTGCCTCTGCCTCGGTCCCCCTCTGCCTCAGCCCAGATCCCCCCCAGCCTCAGCCCGGGTTCCCCTGTGCCTTTGCCCGAGTCCCCCTCAGCCTCAGCCGGGGTCCCCTTCAGCTTCTGCCCGAGTCCCTCTCAGCCTCGCCTGGGTCCTCCTTCTGGCCACGGACCCCCAACCTTTGTGGCGGGGGGATCTGCCTCCAGGCCCCTGCCTCGGGCCGCCATTAGGCCAAGGCCTGCAGGTTCCGAGAGCAGGGCGGGGTGGGAGACTGTGGGAAGCCTCGTGGCTCACAGATGGAGGAGGGGGATGGGGGCGGTGGGTGGGACTCTGGGGAGGAGGGTGGTCCTGGCAGACCTGAGGCAAGAGGATCGCTTGAGCCCAGGAATTCGATCATGCCACTGCACTCCAGCCCAGGTGACAGAGCAAGACCCTGTCTCTAGAAATAAATAAAAATTAAATTAAAAATTAAAGTTCCCTCTGTCTGTCCAGAAGTGAACTGAGGAGGGGACAAGAGACCGCTGCACTGGGGAGTGGGGAGAAGGAGCAGTGGAAGGTCTTTGCCGTAGCCCAGGTGAAAGAACAATGTGACTTGGACCAACATGGGGATGGAGAAGACAGAAGTAGATACACTTGAGGGATATTGGTGATACGATGGGGGAGAGGAAATAGGAGCGTTTCTGTTACTGTTAATAATAAAACAGAACTAGGCCAGTCGCGGTAGCTCATGCCTGTAAACCCAGCACTTTGGGAAGCCGGGGCAGGTGGATCACTTGAGGTCAGGAGTTCGAGACCAGCCTGGCCAACATGGTGAAACCCCGTTTCTACTAAAAATACCAAAAAAAAAAAAAAAAAAAAATTATCCGGGCATGGTGGTGCACACCTATAATTCCAGTTATTTGGGAGGCTGAAGCAGGAGAATCTCTTGAACCCGAGAGGCGGAAGTTGCAATGAGCTGAGATCGCACCACTACACTCCAGCCTGGGTGACAGAGTGAGACCGTCTCCAAAAAAAAAAAAAAATGTAAAACAGAAAAGTTACCTTTCTGAATCAGAATGAAAAGCAAATGTTTTATATAAGAAAAATTTAACCAGGGCAAAATACTGTGTTAGCACCACACCACAAAGCAGGCAGGCACATCTCCGGGTCGTTCTGTGACCAGATAATGATACCAGGACTTCAGTCACTACTGGCCTCACCTGTGCTAGGAATGTTCTAGAATTTTAAAGTTTTGCCATGGGCCTCTTTTGTACAGGCTGCTAATGACTTCTCCTCATCCATAAATCCATTTGGTCAGTGCCTCTTCTGTAGTAATAGAATTGGGAGCAAGATCTGTGGCTGCCCAAAATAAAGACATTTCTCCATTGCTCTTGCAGTCAGTACAGACATAAAGTTCCGCTTAATGCAATGTATGCAAGATGCCATATGGCAGGCAGCTTCTAGAAACTTTGCTCTCTTAGCTTTGCCTGTTTCTCCATCCTGCTTCCTGGAATGGAGATGCCACCAGCTTGGGCCTTGAGATTGAAACCACATAGGACAGAGCACCAAGCTAGGAGAAGCTGGGGCCCCTTCCCCTGTGGAGCACCATCCCAGCTCCCCACCACCAAGCTGACTTAGTAGGGAAGAAAAATACTTCTCCATTTTGTTTTCCGTTACTTGCAGCTGAAACTGTTTCCCCCTGGTCAAACTATTAAATGCATGCCTGAAAATCTGTTAGGACACAAAACAGGAAGATATTCTCCCAAAGCCCCTGGTGGTACGAATGGCGGAGTCTCTTCTGCCTCACTCGGTAAGTGCTTCTGCACTGTGAGTGAGTTAGTTCATTTGCAGATGGTAAACAAGAGAATGCTGGCCGGGTGCGGTGGCTCACACCTGTAATCCCAGCACTTTGGGAGGCCAAGGCAGGCAGATTACAGGAGTTCAACACCAGACTGGCTAACATGGTGAAAACCGGTCTCTATTAAAAATACAAAACTTAGCCAGGCTTGGTGGCGGGAGCCTGTAACCCCAGCTACTCAGGAGGCTGAGGCAGGAGAATCGCTTGAACCCAGGTGGTGGAGGTGGCAGTGGGCTGAGATCGAGCCACTGCACTTCAGCCTGGGTGACAGCGCAAAACTCCATCTCCAAAAATAAAAAAAAATGAAAGAAAATAATACTGTCAGTAGAATGCAGAAACCGTGTGTGTGTTCTTAGCAGCATGTTCATATAATAGTTTGAGGTGGTGGTGGGGCGGAGGGGGCAAGCATTCTGTCAACGAAAGAGCAAGGCTTAGCAACGGTAAACCAAAAAGTATCTGAGACAGGTCTCGATCAATTTAGTAGTTTATTTTGCCAAAGTTAAGGACATGCCCAGAAGAAAAAAGCAGAATCTCAGAAACAGTCTGTGGTCTGTGCCTTTCTCCAAAGATGAGTTTGAGGGCTTCAGTATTTAAAGAAAAGCTGGCTGGAGGGGAAAGAGAGTATGGTAATCCACATGTTACAAAAGAAAACGTACAAGTAGAGGAATCATCATTTATATGTCTGTCTCTTGCTCAGTAAATCAGCACTTTACACAAGTAAGGTGAACACAGAGTAGCTCCTTGTGGGGATATTTAACCTTTTATTTGTCGCTGTCTGCTTGGAACAAAAGGAAAGACAGCTCCTTGCATGACTCAGCTTTCAGCTTAATTTTTTTTCCTTTTTGGCAGAGTGAATTGGGGTCCTGAGTTTTTTATTTTCTTTTCACACAACGTATGAAGACCTTAAAGAGAAAACGGTGCAAATTCTGCAGGGCTCTGGGCTGGTTTTGTGATTTCAAGAAGCGCTTTCTCCTGTAATCCCAGCATTTTGGGAGGCTGAGGCAAGAGGATCGCTTGAGCCCAGGAGTTCGAGACCAGCCTGGGCAACATAGGGAGACCTTATCTCTACAAATGATAAAAAGTTATCCGGGTGTGGTGATGTGCACCTGTAGTCCCAGCTACTCGAGAGGCCGAGGCAGAAGAATTTCTTGAGCCAGGGACC